TTTCTACATGATAAAGTACAGCGGCAAAGACTTGGGCAATGATAATGAGCTAAGAAATTTGAATGATTCATCATTACACCGCTATGAGTGATCCTTCACCGTTTGGAAAAGGGCACCATAAACGTGTTTCTTATGTAAAATTCAGAGACTATGTGAGCTACAATGCATGATATCTTCCCAATACAAATCTTGATCATGTTTTTCTATCGGATAGAGTGCATGGTGTAGCAAAGTTCAAGAGGTGTGATCATGAAATAAATCAAACGTTCCACGATAGTATATATTTTGAGATATTCATATCAAGTGCCATCATCTAAGAATAACTTTGTGATTTTGCTCGAGCCACAAAACTATTTGTTGCATTCGATTAATCTTGGTGTTGAACTACATGGGTGTAACGAGTGGGTTCAACAAATGCATATACAACATGGGTGTATCTTGTGATTCTGATTGAGATATGTTTTTAAATTAAGTGCTCTTTGAGCTCGTATGTGTTATTTTTTATATTCACATCGGTATCTTAAAAGAGCAAGACATGGATTAAAAGATCATAAGCGGAAGTCCAATATCGAGCTACGATGGTTGCAACTTCTAAACTCATCTAAACTCAAGAGAATGCAAAACGTGGCTTGTTAATTTCGGAGCTCCACAAAATGGTAAATGGTGACACTGTTTTTTTTTTTTTTGTCACAACACAATAATGATGAAACTGTTTTGTGAACCAATTTATTGAGTATAAATGTATAATAGTTGGGTTCTTATTGAGCTGAATGATTATGTTTATTATAACTTAGCCCATTATGAAAGACCATTAGTAGTGTATTAAATCTTTCGAGAGCCCAAATTGTAGAATATCAAAAACAAATATTGTTGAAGAAATACATATTCTAGTTCTTTTCTAAGAATTTTATTTCACCTTTTCCCAAATTTAAATTTTGTACTCTACTTTTTACAAAAACAGAAACAAATTTTCTTTTCTTAGGCCATCACGAATTTACGAATTTTTCTGCTTATCAAATCCTAAATGGAAAAGAAAAAAATGCAAAACAACAAGAAGCAAGTATATTAAAAATCGTTTTAACAAAAATAAAATAAAATTAAAAGGAATTCGTAAAATAATTATCAACTATTTATTCGACGAAATTTCGTAGATAATCTCATTATTAAATAAATACATAAGTACAAGTAGAAAATATCAAACCATCAATCATATAGTATCAAACAAACATATACAACAAAGTAGAAAAGGATTAAGAAACCCAAACTCAGATTTTTATAAATTCACAAACTTCAACGCCGT